CGAATAACACGAACATTACTTTTTAAACATTTTGTAAACTACCCCGCAGTTATACATCACAAAAACAATGATTTATACTACGTTTAATTATGTATATTTAAATTATAGATATATACAAAATAATTCAAATAATCTGTCACGTTCGCCGCCAAACTAAAATGTACATAGGTATCGTTTGGTCGGCCGAATATTCGGTGGCCGGATACCGGATATTCGGCAAAGTCGTAAAGCCGAATATCCGGTATTCGGTATCCGGCCAAACAACTATCCGTTGCATCACTAGATAATACACCAATGTCGATGACGTCATTTTTCATCTGCACTCAAACACCATTCACGGTGCGTGACGTCATTCGTGGACAATCAAAGTCAAAAATCATTTATTCAAGTAGGTAACTAAGAAGCTCAAAGAAACAGAGAGAAATTGGGAAAAGCGACAAAATTTAATCTTCTTTGGGGTCCTCCTTTGAAGCTTGCAAGACAGAATTCTTTAGATTATCATTACTACTGGCAAAAGATCCGGAAGTAAAAAAAAAAAAAAAAAGAAAAAGAAGAGAGAAGGGGAGAAAAAAAAAGAAGAAAAAAAAAGGGGGAGGGAAAAAAGGAGAGAGAAGGGGCCAGGGGAAAAACCAAGGAAAATAAAAAAAAAAGAGAAAAGAAAAAAAATTTATAAAATTTAAAAAAAAAAAAAAAACAGCAATTAAAAAAATCGAAATTAAATTGACTCGGTAGCTCAATTGGTAGAGCAACAGCACGGAACGCTGACGATGCTGGTTTAAGTCCTGCCCGAGTCGAAATTTTTTCAATTTTTTTCGATTTTTAAATTATAAAGTTCTTACATTGTATATTGTGTTTTTTTTCATTTGTAAAAAAATGTGACGTCACGAGTTACCTGGTGTATTGAACAATATCAAAAGACAGTTTAAAGTATACACTTTAAGGAAACAAAAATCCTTTTTTGTCATAATATTGTAGATAAAGATTTACTTAACACTCTCTAAAAATTGCCTGACCCTACCTACTCACATCTAGACTATTTTAAAACAGGAAGACTTTCTTTGTTTTTTATTTGGGCAATCTAACCTCAGAAACAACAGACTCAATTTAGAAGCCTCTTTTAGTCAGTTTTTCTGATCTAGTGTAGGAAAGGAAGGCGAATGATAAAATATTAAGGGATTTTTTATTCGCAGACACAACATGAGTCGCGGTCAAAAATGGGTGCTCGTCAACCAGAAGATAGCAGTTCTCTGCGGAAACGTTTCTTCCATTGTTTGGTCTTTCATGACCCTTGACAGCGATGATGTGCTGTTGCAGAACTTAGTTAGTGTTATATAACTCTTTCTATGTATAAGATAACTGTCAGAGGTTCTATTTATTTAAAAACCTTTTGAAAAAAGTATACATAGAATTTATGAATTATGTTGTAAAATTTGACCTCTGTTTTGTAGTTACGATACAGATAGGCAGATCTTACAAATCTAATAAATGAATTAATTTATTTAATGAGGTTTATTAACTAGGTACTTCAACGTGTTTTAAACTAATTACGCTAATTATAGTACGAATAATTATTACGTACCTAACTTATAAGTATGCACAATGTTGACTACAGATAAGGACATAACATACACACTTGTTGGAGTATAGTATTATAGCTTCTTTCTTATCTACCTTGACTGTTGGATGTTGCTCCACCCCGGAGCCGAAGCTTCCACACGGAGAAGCTATAATACTATACTCCAACAACACTGAAAGCAATACACGTAAACATACTTATTCTTAGTTAATTCTACATAATAATATAATCTTATCAAAGTTTTACTTTTGAAATTATTAATAGAAGAAAAAGGTCGATATTATGGTTCTTAAATACGCTATTAAGAAGTCTAGAAATTAACTATATAGGTGAGTTTGAGCCATATTTATTTTTGTAATAATTAGGTTATTTATGATCTTATGAAAGCAAATCAATTGTGCTATCTTTGTCGCTTCTGATGTGGCACAGAAGGTAGAGGACGAGGTTATCCTCTTGACTTTGACGGCCTCGTCGGCGCGATGGTAGCAAGGTAGGGCTAGTAATTAAAGGGTCGATTCGCCCATCGGGTGCAACCTCTTTCTGATCGATTTATACTTGTGTCACATGTCAAAAACACTAATAAAGAAACCCACAGATATATAATGTTATGCGACTGGGGTATTTCGCCTACCATCAAGTGAACCCCGTGTTTGATGGTCCTTCTGTATCATAAAAAAAAAAACCATATGCAATTAAAATACTTGCATACTTTTTTATACTTTGAGTATGACTCGTTCACAAAGCAAGAGTTAGTTCTTTCTGTTCATTAAACTAGATCATGAAGGCCTGAGGTGGGTGATATAGAATCTGGAACTGAAGCCAAATAAATATGACGGCGCATCGCCGTTTAAGAGTGTCAAGAAACGTCAACTGTCACCTGACATTTGACAATGTCACTTGGACGAGGTGCCGTTGACGTTTACGTCACTCTGACACAACTCCGGGCTCTTTTGTGTGTGATCAGTGATGAGGCAATAGGAAGAAATCCGTTGACATCACGCGAAAAACAAGGCGTGCCCGGTGGAGTGTCGTTACTAATTAAAATAACCATAGTAAAGATTGTAATAGCGCCCATCTTTTATTAACATCAATATTAGAACAGTCGATTTGAAAAAGCAGTTTTAGTTCTCCTCGCCCGTCTACCCAATCGCTCGGCAACCATCAGAGACGATGATGATAATGATAATGTACCTTTAAATATATGTTTAACTGGTTTATATTGGCCGGTATTGATCACTGTGTAAATTATTTTAGTACAAACGAATTGAAATAAAAAAATGCACATTTATTTTCTTCCAAATTATCATGAGAAAAAATCATATTTTTTTAATTGGCCCCTGTGGTTTCAGCAGCCCGTTGTGACACTACCTTTATGTACCTAAGACACTTGAATGAACTGCAACCATTGATAGCGAGCTTTACAATTTATTACAATATTATTTTGGCAAATAGTTTTATTACATGAGTAAAATTCATTTAACAATTTGTTACAGGTGACATGTCAAATACTGCATGTATTGAAAAACTTTTTCGCCATGGCCAAGTTTAATGGGATTTTTTCTGAGGCGATATATATCTACGACTCGTTCAAAAATGTACGTAATCGATCATTCATCTTTTCGTACAATGGAGCTGACTCATCATTTTGATAGTTGGCGCTTGCAGCATTCGCGACAGGCGGTGTTGTCATATAAGAAATCCCGCCGTTTTGTTTTATCATTTCTATCTAAGTCACATATGCAATGTGAATTGTTATCTATATGAGAGGTTTCAGTTTTTTTTTTATGTCAGGCAACATCCAGATTCAACAACAACGTGCGCTGGTTCTTGTTCTTGGATTGGGTCGTTCCTGCCATCGTTATGCTATTCTACGTCGCTGTGCGCGTCTTTTACGATCAGTCTACGTATTTGTAAGTATCTTTAAATTTAATTACTGAATTTTTTAAAAATGACGTTCGACCCAAAATTAATTTGGCGCCTTCTTTTTATACAAACGATAAAAACCAATAATCTAAGTTTTATATATTGTTTCATTAAATGTATTTGAGTGATTAAATGTTAACGTAGAGACAGACACTAGGCAGGCGGGTTACGTTGACTAGCCTGTTGCATGAAACGTGAATGAATATTCGATATAGAGTATTTCTTCGATCCACACTTCAAATACATCTGAGCATCATCTCTTGAGCAGAAAACAGTTTATGTAAAATTATTTTCAGAAAAAAGACTAAATTATTCCTAAGACAGTTTCTCGGCCTTTTTATGTTTTCGTAATCTAACATACTCTCCCAGGTAAGAAACGAACGCTGTAAATAAAAACAAGTTTGACACGAAGATCAAAATTGTATACAAAAAATATTTTCCACTGAGAATATTTTTTTTCGATTGCCACCAAAACGCCATTTAGTGTGACAACGCGTGACGTTATATGTGGTCATTTCAGGCGTTCGAGGGACAGAATGGACTCAGTTTGCAGACGTAATCGTTGATTGGTGTTTCAGTAAATATGAAAGATATCGTCATTATCGTTTTATTTAAAAATATTTGAATGGAATATATTACATCATTACTCAATAATCGTAAAAGATGAATGCAGTCTGAATATTAACTGTGAAAATGTTCACTTTCGCATTGTAGTATTAGGTATTTTGAACTCGACCCGACAATTAAACATATTTTTTGTTTCAGCTGCTGGGTCAAGGACAGCAACGCAACAATTCTTATAAATATGGCTATTTACGGAGCCGTCGTAATGTCGTTGGGTAAGTTTATTTTCTATTACTTGTTTAGAGGTGAATTAAGTTAGACACCACCGCTGGTAGCAAAAAAACTCAATCACTCGTTAATCCGTTTAATATAAAAAGACGACAACTGTTTCACACTAGTTGTCTCGCTGTGCACGATTACAATAATTCTACTCAACTTCTTGTGCTAAATGGCTACGACAATAGTAGCGTCGCATACCGATCGCATGGGCATCGAATACGCGCACTATCAGCACTTTTCCCGTAGTAGCACAGCTTAGGGCTGTCGCCTAATAAACAAAGAACAGCATGACTAGTTTTCTTTATTAATATCTTATGTACTAATATATTAATAAACTTAACTCAATATTACAAACTTAAATGGACATTATACAATATAGCATATTATAACTTTAGAAAAAATCCATATCGTCATGTCCATCAGTTAAACTAACGAAGAACGGGTACTACAAGAGGAGAGTACCCGTTATTAGGACTCTAGTCTGTTACCAGATCGTCTCTCGGGAACCGACAGACATACATACAAGAATTGCATATTTCCGAAGGTCCAAAGCCCGTAAGATCTATCGTCTGAAATAGATGTTGCAGGACTGGAGTATTTATTCTCCGTATAAATGAAACCTATGCTTCTGTTGCTACCAAAAACTTCGCTTTTTATGACAGCTTGAAAAGGACATAATTTTAACTTTTTACGTTTGTCACGACAGGTCTTTTCGGAAGAGTCATCATAATGTCGCTCGGAACTTCTCTTAACGAAGGACACCAACGTCTTGTTAGAGGGGCGAAAGCGAATCTCTTCACAGTAAGTTTGTATATCTTTACTAATACTGTAAAGCTCAAGAGTTTGCTTGTTCAAACGCGCTAATCTCAGGAACGGCTGGTTCCAATCGATAACATATTTTTGTGATGGATAGACCATTTCTTCGGCTTCAACCTATGGGCTTAATTTGCAAAAATTATTCATTTTTCAGGGCTTCCGTTGCGTGTGACGAAAACGGTTCTACAAAACAAAAAATATGTATGACAAGCAGGCACTGTTTAGTCCTACCCGCACCGTCTTATAGTACAAGTTTTATTTGTCCGTATCAACTGACATGAATAGCTATTTTTAGATCGTGACAGCGCGTAGGCATGCATTCCACATTCGCTATTTGCTAGTGATATAATTTTGTTTGAAGCTTACTATATAGACAAGTTTTAATTATTATATACTATTTTATATTGATTGAATCCCTCAGACCTCAGACGCGAATTGGTCCAGGGGTGGCTGCGATTTGGGTTTTTCTGGAAGTAAACTGGGTAAAATGCCTATTTCTGAAGTTTATCGCTTTAGAAAAATAACAAAAAATGCTTCGAACAAAACAAAAAGTGAATCTTAAAATATATTTCATATTGATCGCATCACAGAAATTTTACAAAGAAATAAGTGCGGGAACATTTATATTAGAGCCCTCAAACTTCCCAAGTGCACTAAATGGACGCGAACTGGCGAAATGAGCCTAACATCCTTTTAGCTCGTGCCTTTTCAATTTCTTCATTTTTGCGTTTTCTTCAAAAAAAGTATTTCAATATTTTACTTAGTCAAGTTCAAAGACTTGTCGATCGTTCTATAAATGTCTAAAACCGTAGTAGGTACGCTCGATCAACTCCGACGCAGGGCGGAGCGATACGTCCACAATCTAGAAAGTCTAGCGGCGAACTGAATTGAATTTTGTTTTGCGCGCATCGATTTCTAGTAGTTTTAAAATAATTATAACAAATAAATATATTTTTAAGGTAAATATTTTAAATAAAGTGTTCTTCTATCGCATAGAACTATTTTAATATTAATTTACGCGAGATAAATACGTCGTAATTCCTTCATATTTCAAGATGCTAGAATTTATTTCTTTTATTTAGTTCTAAAACTAAATTCAACAATTTTTCTACTAAGCGTTTTGTTAAGGATCTTATCAATCGGTTGCAAGTATTTAAGAAAACCTGTGTTAAGATATTACAATATAAGGCTATAACACTGCGTAAATCGTGATTTTTTCTAATAAGCATTTATAGTGAAATTTCCTAAGCATATAAGTAATAAACATGTTTGTACAATAAGAGGTTGATAATATTAACAGATTTGAAAAGCCGAGTTATAAGCCGAATTGCGCGTGGAGGGTACACGCTCTTAAAGTAAACTCTAAAATTTCTATGAAACAGTTATACAACTATGGGTAAAAATAATTAAGTGTCATAAATACATTTACAAACATATTCCGCACTTGAAACCGTTAAAATAGAATGCGGACAATACTTATATTACTTCCCGTCGTCTTTACTGAGTTTTTTTGCATACCTTACATTTTATTTGTTAAATGCAGGATGTTTACACCTCGCTGCTAGTTGCTTGTAATATCTAGTTACTGAAACTGCCTCCAGTTCCAGCGGTAGTTCTACCGCTTCCAGCTATTATTTACATTTTATAATAATAGAGATCCAAAACTTTTGAAAATAGTCTCCCTGCCTTGTACATTTGTACCACTTTGTTTGCCTTAGTGCCTACAATATTTATTAGTAACTTGCTATTTTTTGTTTTATAGACCTTGCTGGGGGCCTCTCAGTATCAAGTTATGTTCAGTGCCGCTTCAAAGGTGAGAATTAGCGCAGCCCACAAAATTGCAAACGCAGTTATAAACATTTTGCAGGTAAGAAATAAAAGAAGGTTCTACGAAACAGTAGATAGTGGCTAGTAAGTGTACACTAATGTTACCTTATCTTGTTGTAGAAAACAAAATTTTCTGTTGTATCGCTCGTTCAAGGCGTTATTTTGTTTTTGGTGTTTTTCACAGTATTTCTTACTTTATAGGTAAGTTCTTTTGCTTGCTTTTATCTTAAATTTCTTTTTAATATTGCCAAAGTTCCAAAGAATAGCCTAAAGTAGCGTATTATGAAAAATTCGCATTAAACGGGATCGTCTTTAACGGGTTCTCCTGTATTACAATTTACATTGTATGAGCCCTAATATACACAACAAATACTCAAGTTAGTTTTTATATCACACTAAATACAGAATCAGCAATGCAACTAAGTGTTTCCATATTCTATACTTAATATATAAAGTTGAAGAGTTTGTTTGTTTGTTTAAACGCGCTAATGTCTGGAACTACGGGTTCGAATTGAAAAATTATTTATTTTGTGTTAGTTAGAAAATTTATCGAGGAAGGCTATAGGCTATAACATAACATCGCGCTGTGACTAATAGAAGCAAAGGTACAGCGTGAAAAGTAAACAAAACGGGGGAAATTTGCGTACCCTGCGAAAACGGTTCAAGATAACTAAAAAATGTGTATGAAAGAATAATTTTTCTTTAAATAATCTAAAAAAAAGTTCGCGACTCTATATGTCTATCTTTTAAGATTAGCTTACAAGAACTACGGGAAGGGATGCGATCGACGTCGTGGCTAACAATTTAAGTTTATAGAGATGACGGGGTTTGCAAAACCTAATTTGGTCGGCCAAAATAACCATTCTCGCGGACGAAGACGCTGGTACAGCTAGTATAAAAAATACAAGAAAAAAAACCGCTTGCCCACGTGTACGAGCTTGACAGCGCGTATGTAAATGAGGTTTCTGAAATTCGCGACCTGGAAATAATGCTAGACAGCAAATTAACTTACATACCTCAGATTCACGCAGCAGTAACTAAATCTGCACAAATGTTGGGATTTTTAAAACGTAACACGAATGGTTTCAACACCATAACGAAAACTGTGTAGTACCTACAACTTTCTAGAGCGCAGTCATCTCGTTTATGGAGATATTGTATGGAATCATTTATATGCTATACACACACAACGCATAGAGAGTATACAGAGGACCTTTACAAGGCATATCGCATATAATTGTAGTGGTTTCTCTCATAGACAACCATACGCTGAGCGGCTCAAAAAATTTAAAATGTGTTCATTGCTTAATAGAAGGCTCGTTTTTGTTAAGTCATTAATTGTCAGATCCCTTGCACTTACCTTATAGAATCAATTAATAATATAGTGTTCCACATTCATATCCTCGTTCCACTAGCACCTTCTACACTCCCCCCGTCAAAACGAACATGGGGATCCAAGCACCTTTTGCTCAAATGATGCGATCGTATAATAAATTTTGTCGCACAGATAGGGATGTAGATATATTCAGGAGCAAGCAAGACACATTCAAAAGACTACTTTTTACTCAGTTGGGTCATCTTAGGTTTACATAATTATTTAGGTTTTTCTTATCATGCCATTTTATACTCTTTTAGATATTAACGCATTTTTTTAATATTATTATAAATATTTCTTTAAGTTAGTTATCACTTATTCAATTATATGTATAATATATATTTGTACTGTCATAGTTACTTAAGTCTGAAATAGTTAATTACGCATAATTTGTAGTTATATATGAATTTAATGTAATGTTGTACGAAAATATTGTTGCTGTTGCAGATGTGCACAGAATACTTAACAAGAACAAAGACTATAGAAGAATTCAATATTATATGCGCTTAACCATGGAGAATGGGAATTATAAACAATAACCAAATCTGGTTTGTTGACAGGGCCCGATAGCGTTAGTAAAGTTCGTGTTTATTAGGAGGGAAAATTTGCGAGCTTTCCCCTACTGTCTCTTCCCTCGGCCGACCGCGCAACCACTGGAACTACATAAAGGGAACGGTAAGTTAAAATGTTATCCACCACAATGATTCGTTAGATAGTTGTCTAACCGGTATTTTGTCGGCGAGGTGTATGAAAAGTAATAACTTATTTAGTCGCCCCTCACACTGCACACACTCGATAAGATCCTTAAATACATAAAAAAGGCAAAAATACGGTTAAATGCAATAAATTGTAAATTATATTATAAAGCTTAACAACGCTAAGAAAATTCTCATACAGCTAGTTATTAAACTTAGAATGGAAATAAAGTAAATTTGCTAATTCGAACTCCGGCGAATTCAGTCGGGCAAGGCAACAACTAGTCAACAAGTAGTTTATGGACGGGCACAGAAATGTGTACGTCCCATGCCCCACGAAGGGAATCTGAATTTCACTTTTACTAAGATGTCTGTACATTGAATTAAGTTTTTTTGTTGATTTTTTTAGTCCGTATCACAAATATAAACAATAAATTGAGCAAATTGTTTGGACCTCACAAAAAGTTTGAAGCAGTAATACATGTTTGCATACATTTTCAAAAACTATGTTTTCTTATTTGCATAACTTCACTTGTTTAAATAAAGAACATCGGAAAGTTCCGCATGTACAATATGCAATAGGTTGAATAAATTTGACAATCGGGTACAGCAACAGCACGGAACGGACGCCGGCTTAAGTCCAACCCGTGGTGTAATTTTTTCCGGTCTAAAATCGATTTTTAATTTAAGATACGCACGCGGTAACCCCTTATGGAATTAAGAATTACTGTTTTTTGAAATGTTGCTTGCGATTCACCTAGTTCCCTGACTTATTAAACTGTCCCCGCAGGTGGGGCACAAAGCTTCTCGGGCCCGCCATCACGATCTAATTCACATTCAAGTGGGGATGTCGCTGGTGCTAGTCTCAACGTGAATGAATGTCTATCCAGGGAATTAACAGTCCACGATAGTATAGAACAACAGTCGAAGAACCAGAGTAATGTGTAGTTAAAAAGGACACGAATTATTTTTATTAATATTAGTGTTAAAAAATCGTTCTTTCGTACAATCCGAGGCCGATGCCTCCTTTGGGTGGTTCTCGGTTTGGCCACCAGTCCAATCGTCCAGTTAGTATTGGCGGCCTCGGGCTCAAATACATAATAATCTCTAAAAACAAGTACTATATATTGCATAAAAACTAATGTGTATATTTTTTCTAAAACCTGAAAGGGGTTGCTCTCCAGCAATAAGGCGTTCTGTAGTTTGATAAGAACATTTTAAAGATAACATTTGTAAACCCGTTGTGTGTGATGCAGTAGAGAATTATATAAAATTATCATTGTTAAACGTAAAATAATAATGTTATTATGAATGGTGTTTTGATCGGTTCGTTGATCTCGTATATAGCTAATAATGAATGAGTCGGAGGTACGATTCCCACCGTATCTATTAAACAATTTTTTTCAAACCTGTTAATATCATCAACCACTTATAAAAAATCACGATTTACGCTGTATTAATGCCTTAAATCGTGATATCTTAACACAGGCTTCCTTAAATCTCGTTTTAGTATCATTTTCGAGGCTTAAAATATATGAAACTACTTAAAGATGTAATTAGAAAAAAACTTGTAACCAATTGATAAGATCCTTAACCAAATACTTAGTAGAAAACATTTTTGAATTTCGGAATAGAACAATAAAAATAAATAAATTCTAGCAACGTGAAATATGAAGGGATCACAACGTTTTATTTGCCTATTTATCTCGTGTAATTTAATATTAAATTTTATAATGTGATGTTGTAGTAAATGCATTTATGAGAACAGTGAATGGTGTTGTTAATAAACAATACCATGATTACTTTTAACGGAAAATAAAATCATTAAAAACTTATTTTTCCCTATGGAACGACGTTATTTAGTTAAATATGAGTTATCATTTATATAATTACTATTTATTCATATTTTTACCTTTTTTAAAGCTTTTTATACAAATATATTTCTACGATCCAATTTTGTCTATTTCAATAGGAATCGATTAAACGACACTCTCTAGGATCGCGTATGGATATCTCTATTTGGTTATTTCTTGGCCTCTATTTCGTTATCTCTGTCTTGAGCGCAGTCCGTTAGAAAATTGGTTGCTTATAGTTAAATTTAATACTATTACATACTTCTCTTTTGTTATATTTTTGTTTTGTCTCAGTATTTTAGTGAAAGATAAGTGTTCGTAGCCCTTATTGTCTCTGAATCAATTATTGGTATGTTACTTTTGCTTGCTATATGTAAAATCTTTAATTTATCCCAGTAACGAAAATAAATGGCAGAATTAGTTTTCTTAACGTTCGTCTAAACTATGTTCAGACTTGCCAAGTTACGGCGGCCGTATTATATCATCATAAAATATCACTTTAAATATACAAGGTTATTCTTTGTTGATACTAAAGGTGAAACACGCCAAACGTCTTTTTATTCGCATAATCAGGATAAAAAATCAAAATTAAAAAATGAAAACTCACATGTAAGTCTAGCGTTAATTATTAAAACAAAGAGAAAATTTTAATCACCATTAATTTATCGAATCTTTGAGCTTTATCATTTTCGAGCAGCTCTTGTGCTCATCTGAAATGATAAACGTATTGGTGGTCATTCCTTAAATTCCACCACACGTAAGACTGACTTACGTTGAATAATCTCCTCGCCTCTGTCTCCTGCGACAGGTCTGAACTGGGCATGGTCTCGTAAGCGCTGCGTAACGCTCAGCATTGTGTTCCGTGATACCAAGACGCCAAATTGTTCATTATAACGTCTCACTGCTTCGGCAACATTATCACCACACAAAGCAAGTGTTCGCACCATTACCACATATTGTACATTGGTATAATTGTAAGACATGTTTCTAATTAACACACTTAAAAAAACACCGCTGAAACAAGTTAAAAATCATTTTCAAATCAGTTCAACTAATATATCGCGTTTTAAACCGTTAAAATGTTTTATTTAAATATGTACTACTCGCGTAAACTATAGACAGTATAAAACTACTTTCAGGTTTCGAATGAAGTAGGAATAACCTTGTATATATAAAGTTTTTTTTATTTTCGTCGAAAAATTAGTTTCAAACTATTCTCTGTTTATTTTCTGAACTATTGTCTAGTTATTAATAAGCCATACAACTACATATTTTTCACCATCTACTTAGTGCTGATTCTGGTCCCGGGTTTTTACTCCAAATCCAAATTGAAGGGCAATTGCAGGTAACGAGAAAGACTTTATGTTTATTTGCAGTCTGGACAGGTAAAAACGTTTCCTTGAAAGTTGAAATAATAGATTATTATAATGAATGTCTGCAACCAGAAATTATAGACCCATGAAAGTCCAGATAGATGCCGCTGAGAATTACTTTTTACAAATCTTTTAAAATTCATATAATTTTTAAATCCGAATAAAATGTTTTATTGAGCAGTAAAAAAATATGAACTGATGATGTTGTTGTATTTACTGACACTACGCCCTTAAATCGTGAAAAATTAATTTCACTGGGTATCAAATAATAAACACTACTATACGATATACATATATTGTTTTTAAAAGAAGCTCATTTATATATATGTCGGCGTATCAACGTCGCTGTGACACAAGAGTGGCTGTCATTGGTAACATTATTGACAGCTACTCTAGCGGAGCGTCGTATCTATGGCAGCGGGGCGGCCATCTTAACACACAAGGATTTGGGACGGCACCGGCAACAAGTCTGCGACGAATCGCTTTGTATTATTGTATGTATCATCTATCCTGTTATTAGAAATACTTATTGAAACTACAGTTCTGTAACTAATAATAACAAGATATTCATATTGTATTCCGATCATTTCTGCAAGTTAGTCTGTTCATTAAAGTTACATGTCATATAATAAAACTGTGCTTGATTTCCAATGTGCCATCCATTAAAAATAATCCATTCTGCGTCTACATTATATATATACTAGTACAAAGCCCTCGGTGACCGCATAATTATTATAATATTGCAAGTACATGACGAATTCTAGCGCTACAAATCGCCTCAACTAACGCACACAGACTCTTTTGCGTCTGTGTAAGTGAAATTGGCTCTGAAATACCTAAACTTAACATCGCGCGAAAGGTGTAAACGCTCTTAAGATATGAGAGAAATTATTTGCGCCTAGTCCTATCTCAATATCGCTCGGATTTCAAATCGAATAAAGGAAATGAAATCCATGTAATTATAACATTTAGGTTCCGAACTATTACTATATTAATGAAATTACCGTACAATGTCGATATAAAATTTAAATTTTACAAATTTTTAATAAAAATAAATATACAATCTTCCAAATTATAAAAATTTAAATTGTTTTAGCGTTAAATAATATGCAGGAAATTAGACTATAAGTCTTCTAAAATATATTTTTTAGAAGAAGGTAAAATAACAATGTTACCTAAATGTGGAAAAGCCACGGCTTTGTATGTGGCGGACGGAATAATAGCCTGGCAAATGGACAAAACCTTGCCTTTCACTTAGCCTACCAGATAATGAACTTTTCCCATCGGAAAAGTCGGTATTGTCATGTATGAATGATTGAAAAACATAGGTCATGAACCTTACACCGTCCAAAGAAGAGAATTCAAAGAGGTGGTCAGACAACTTAGGTATTTACATATAATTAATATGGTAGGAATATTTTTGAACTGAATAGATTCTTAAACAATTAATATCTAAAAAATAATCGTATGCAAATCCTAAGTAAACAATGTTGTTAAAATGAAATTGACGAAACAAACAAACAAATGATTATGTTAAAAATATATTTTAATCACTTAATGGAAATTGAAAGGAAATCTAAATTTAACAGATCAAAATTAGTTTTGTTAATTTGTTTGACATTAAGGAAACGTTTTCAAAACGTTGCGTTGGCGTCATATTTAAAAAAATATTCATCCGGATTTCAGAACCCCTCGCCTGTTAGTAGTACTGATTGTAAGTAATTACTGTGATTTGCTAATAGAAAATTTATACATTTAATTAGATTAAAAAAAATGACTCAGACGACTCGCAACTATGAGCAAGGAGTTTAAATGTTATCATTTAAGTCACTTTAAAGGTTCAAAATGCAAACTTCATTACTCAAATACTTTTTAACTGCAATGAAACATCGGTTCGCAGTGAAATAAAATAAAACGAAAAAGTACAGTTGGTGTTATCGGTATTTACTTACTTGGGAATGATCGTTGATAATGGTATTTTATCTTCCATATGACGTCTCGCAGCACCATCAAAGGCACACGACATTTTTATCACTATTGGGGAACTTCGTTTCTTATAGAGTTTCGTGACTCTGTGACAACTTTTTCTAGCGACGCGCACCCTTCCCCAATGCGCAACCATTTCCAACTGAGGGCGGTTTAACCGTACTCGCACACCAGGGATGCCAGTTCAATTTCCCCTTCGACCAGCTTTAAAATCTTCCTAAATATGAATTGAACTGATATTTGATATTTCTCTGTTTGGGAGTAAAATAATTATTTTATTTATAGCTCAACAAAAATTGACAACCTAATTATATTGACAAGAACCTACCTACTCGTATAAGCATCTATCAAACTGTAAAAACTCTTAAATATTCCTCTTATTTCAAGTGCTAAGGTAGCCCCGTCGAAATAGACAAAAGCCCGATTGAGCTGTAACCTCGTAGAGACGTTATATAACGTCTGTACGTACTAAAAATACATGCACATACATTGCCAGTCTCTCAAATACTCTTTTTTAATTTGAATGCATTATCTTGATCATTATGTATTGTCTTTAATTACCTATATTTCTGGCGGCCCGCCATGAGTTCATGATATGTTTGTGACCCCTGGTCTTAGTAAGTCCGTGCATCCCTGACCTAGGGCATGGGGCAGGCCATTTTCCATGCCAGTTTCACTTAAACTTTAACTGTTATTCCTCAAAATTTACGACACTTTTTTGTTATGTCTTTTATAT